CTTTTCTATTCTTAGCCAGCCTTCTGATGAAATCCTTTCTTCTATTCTTTTAGTATAGTTTTAATATAATATATATCATAAAATAATAAGTCAAGCCTTCTGAAACATGGGATCAACATTCTCATCTCTTCCCTCATCCTGGGACCCCTGTGAACACCACCACAGTTCCTGATGGGTTTTTCTCCTGTGCCCTGTCCCTGGTGGTCCTGGAGCAAAGCTGAGTGTGGCACATGCACAGTTTGTGTTTGCTGAGACTCAGCTGGGAAGAGGGAATTGGTGGAGCTGGTTTGAGTCCTCGTGGTGCACGTGGTTGACTTGAGGAGTGTAGTGTCAAAGCCACCTCCAAGTCTCCTTGGCAGCCCTGCACATTTAGGATAATCCAGCTGTTTCTTGAAGATTTGTCTTCACCTTGAGTCTTTTGGGTTTTGAAAAGGAGAATGTACAAGGGAAAAATGTCCCTTCCCACTAAAGCTGTCTGCAGTAGATCTTTGGGTACAGAATAGGACTCAGATTAAATAATTCCCTCTGGAAGAGGAAGGGGTGGAGCCCACTTTTCCTGCTTGGCTCTGTCAGTCCTTCTGGAGCTGCCAGGTTGGGATTTAACCTGAATTTAAGTGCAAGAGGCCTCCTGCAGGGTCACACTGAGCCATCCTAATGGTGGGAATTATTTCCCTTTTAGGCATCACATCCTACGGAGTCCCTCGCAGTGAGAAGGAAATCATGGCTGAGATCTACAAGAACGGCCCAGTGGAAGGAGCCTTCATTGTCTACGAGGATTTCCTGATGTACAAATCTGGTGAGCAGCACCACTGGGGCTGGGGGGGGAGAGCTTCAACCTGGGCTCCCTCTTTTGTGGCCCTGGTCTGTCTTCTCAAAGTCTTGGAGATCTCAACCTCACACTTGAGTATCTGCTGTGACAAGGACGTGGGCAGATGCCACCTCCTGTATCTATAGCAAAGGGAATAAATTCTTGGGATTGGTTCAGGGAAGGAGCCCTAATGGGAAGCACCCCAAATTCCAACTGGCAGCAACAGCTCAGATTTTAGAACCTCAAAATTCTTGTTGTGAACTGCCTTTGAGCCCCTTGGGAGATGTCTCTGGGTGTTCTGTGTGCTCAGCTGGTGCTAAACATTGGTCATAGAATCGTGGAATGGTTTGGGTGGGAAGATCATGATTAAAAAATCATCTCATTCCAATCCCTGCCATGGGCAGGGACACCTCCCACTATCCCGGGTTGCTCCAAGCCCTGTCCAGCTTGGCCTTGGTCACTTCCAGGGATCCAGGGGCAGCCACAGCTTCTCTGGGCACCCTGTGCCAGGGCTCCCCACCCTCACAGGGAAGAATTTCCTCCTAACACCCAACCTAAATCTCCCACCTTTTAGTTTAAAACCTTTCCCTTCTGTCCTGTAGCTATCTCCCTGTGCAAAACTCCTTCCTCCAGACTCTGCACTGTTTCAGTTTCACGTTTAACCCAAACCCCAAAATTAATAATATTTAATAATTATATAATTTAATAATAAATTTTATTATTTATAATTGTGTAATCATTATATATTTCTATAATAAATTTTATTGTTTATATAATTTTATTATTATATAATTTTATATATATTATTAATCTCAGCCAAATTTTATATACCTTATTAATCTCAGCCACTCTGAGCTTTGTGATACCAGGCTGTGAGCACTCTGTGGTGTGGGACAGGCAGTGCCCTGTTGACATTTTGGGTTTTTTTCCCTTGCAGGGGTCTACCAGCACGTGTCTGGGGAGCAGGTGGGAGGCCACGCCATCCGCATCCTGGGCTGGGGCGTGGAGAACGACACTCCCTACTGGCTGGTGGCCAACTCCTGGAACACCGACTGGGGGGAGAACGGTGAGAGCCGCCGGGAATCTTCCCCGCCCCATTCCCCTCCACCGGCAATTCCCACCTCATTTCCCCACCCCATTCCCTTCCACCGGCAATTCCCGCCCCATTCCCCTCCACCGGCAATCCCCGCCCCATTTCCCCACCCCATTCCCCTCCACCGGCAATTCCCGCCCCATTTCCCCATCCCATTCCCCTCCACCGGCAATTCCCGCCCCATTTCCCCATCCCATTCCCCTCCACCGGCAATTCCCACCCCATTCCCTTCCACCGGCAATTCCCACCCCATTTCCCGCCCCATTCCCTTCCACCGGCAATTCTGCCCCATTTCCCCACTCCATTCCCCTTCCACCGGCAATCCCCACCCCATTTCCCCGCCCCATTTCCCCACCCCATTCCTCTCCACCGGCAATTCCCGCTACATTTTTCCGCCCCATTCCCTTCCACCGGCAATTCCCGCCCCATTTCCCCGCCCCATTCCCTTCCACCGGCAATTCTCGCCCCATTTTCCCGCCCCTTTCCCTTCCACCGGCAATTCCCGCCCCATTTCCCCGCCCCATTTCCCCGCCCCATTCCCCTCGGATGGATGGACTGAGGGTGACTTTTTTTTTGGTGCTCTCCCAGGTTTCTTCAAAATCCTGCGGGGAGAGGACCACTGTGGCATCGAGTCCGAGGTTGTGGCCGGCATCCCCAGGACGGAGCAGTACTGGAAGAGGATGTAACTCTGATCAAACCACAAATAATCCTGAATCCCTGATGCTTTTAACTGATAGTGGGTTGGGTGCAGAGACCCTCCCTTCTAAAAGAGACTCTAGTTCAGGTTACTTTATTAAAGCTTTTTATCTTTTTTTTTTTTTTTCCAAAATTTTTTTGTTTGTGGTTTTTTTTTTTTTTTTTCCTTTTTAAAATTTTTTGGGTTTTTGTTTTTAAAATTGTACGTTGGAGCTGGAGGTGGAGCTGCTTTCTGCCAACCTCCTGCTTCTGGAGGGTCACAGCAGGACACTGGGGCATTCCCTGCTCAGAGGACTGCTGGAGAGCTCGCTGGCCTCTTGGAATTTGGTTAGCCTGGACCCCTTCCAGCCCAGTTTGCTACTGGGAGGGCAGGAAACAGCAGCTTTGTGCTGGGATTAGGGACTTGGTGGGGCAGCAGAGGTGGATGCTGCAGGAAAGCCATGGCCAGGGGGGATTTGTGCACCCCCAGATGGGTTGATCTGACTGTTAGCACCCAAAACAAGCAGGGAGGAATTTCCTGTGAGTCTGTGCCTTGAATTGGCTAATTTTAGACCTATTAATGAACAAAATACTGATGAACTTGCTGTGGGGGTGGCTCTGGCCGGAGCTGCCTGCACCAAGTCCCTCGTGCATCGCCTGCTCTGCTCCATCCTTCTGGCTTTTCAAACCACTTCTTCCTCAGCTGTTCACTGACTTTTTTATCTGCTGTACTCTGGGGTTATTGATGCTGGGGAAGGGCCTTTGATCAAATATCCTGCAAGCATCTGGGAGGGAGCTGGGAAAGAGCAAAGCCTTTCTCCTGCATGGCTGAGCAGCTTGGTGTGTGCAGGTCATGCCTGGGCAAGGGTGCAGTGCCCAAATTTGGGGTGCTTTGGGGCTGCAGGTGCTGGATGCTGAGCTGAGGGATGGTTCCCAAGTCTGCTGCAGGGAGCTCAAGCAGATGCTTGGAGGTGTCTCACTAACTTGGACACGATTAAAGCTTTTTATCCTTGAGCCACAGGCATTAAGGAAGGTAAAAACCCTTATTTTTGTTACTGGGGGGAGGCAATAGGTTGTGTACAGGAGGAATCATGTGATTTGCCAACACTAATATAGCAAAGAGCTTTTTTTTTTTTTTAATTTTAAAGCACAAAATATATTAGTGACCTGAGGCTATGGGTCTGAGATGTGTGAAGCAGGCTCTCCATGCACTGTAAAATAGCCCCTCTTACCTCTGCTTGCTCAGGCACCAGTGAGGCAGAGCTGTGCTGTATTTGGCTGGAACACCTGTGCCAATAAATGATTTCTCCAGTGTCTTGGCTCTTGGTTGCTTCTGCTTGGCTTCTGCCACCTCAGATGGTTGGAGTGGAAGCCAAGTGAGACCCTTCTGTCTTCAGAGAATGGTTTGGGTTGGGAGGGACCTTAAAGATCATCCAGTCCCACCCCCTGCCATGGACAGGGACAATTCTCACTATCCCAGGTTGTTCCAAGCCCTGTCCAGCCTGGCCTTGGACACTTCCGGGGCTCCAGGGGCACCCACAGCTTCTCTGGGCACCCTGTGCCAGGGCATGCTCACCCTCACAGGGAAGGATTTCCTCCTCCAATATCCCATCTCTCCCTGCCCTCTGGCAGTGGGAAGCCATTCTCTGTGTCCTGTCCCTCCATCCCTTGTCCCAAGTCCCTCTCCAGCCCTCCTGGAGCCCCTTTAGGCTCTGGAAGGGGCTCTGAGCTCTCCCTGGATCCTTCTCTTCTCCAGGTGAGCACCCCCAGCTCTCCCAGCCTGGCTCCAGAGCAGAGGGGCTCCAGCACTTGGAGCATCTCCGTGGCCTCCTCTGGACCCTCTCCAGCAGCTCCAGGTCCTTCTGCTGTTGGCCCCAGGGCTGGAGGCAGCTCTGCAGGTGGGGTCTGACCTGAGAGGGGCAGAATCCCCTCCCTTGTTCAGATGTAGTCACTGCCAGCCCTGTCCTGTGGCCCTGCTGGTGAGAGCCACCCCTTGGGATGGGGAAGGTGCTTCCACCCTGAGCAGAGAGCAGCCAGGACCTGTCCCCAGCATCCCTGAGGATGCACCAGGGCCCTGGAGCACGTGCCTGCAGCCCAGGGCTGTGCCACCACTCCCTTCAAGGTGAATTTATGGGCTCTCAGCTGTCCCTCTGGTTAAAATTCTTCCCCCAGGTCTGTCACACTGGGCTGTACTTTGATACTCAGAGTTGTCACCAAGGGAGCACTGGAATTTCATGAGCTGAGGGCTTGTAACTTGTGGGGAAATTACTGTTGTAAAAGAAATGACAGCTGAAAAAGAAATAAAAATAAAAAAGAGGATCCAGCACTTTTTTTTTTGAGCTGGAGGGCTTGTGAGGAAATTACTGTTGTAAAAGAAATGACAGCTGGAAAAAAAAAAAAAAAGATGACCCAGCACTTTTTTTTTTTTCCAAAGAAAACTTTTTATTTCAACAAGACTGGAAGCTGCACAAATAGAGCTACCACGAGTTTCTTTAGAACAACAGCTTAAATCTACACCAGGAACTGTGGAGTAGGGGCTCTCCTTCTGAGTAACAGCCTGGCCACAGGGGCTTGGCCTTGCAAAGGCCACCACCCTGCACCTGGCAGCTCTGTCCTAGACCAGGACATGGGCTCTCCTTCCCTTCAGGACAGCAAAGCAGCATTTGAAAGGGGTGGGTAGGGACCTTGCAAGCAACAATCCACCCCAGGAGAACAGGACTTGCCTTCAGAGTGCTGTTTCCTCTTGTGAGTCCAGCCTGATGTGTTTGCAGACAGCAGTGGGAGCCTCTTGCAGCTCACACATCAACCAGAGCCAGAGCCAGAGCCAAGTGGGTCAGGGAAACCTGCCCTGGTCACCCCTGGTGGCTCCAGCCTTCCCAGCTGCTGGCAGGGATCACTCCTCCCTTCCAGGGTGAGCAATGCCCCCCTCTAAAAGCATCCCATGAGGGACAGCAGGGTGCAAACCCTCACTCCCCTGCCTTGCTCTGCCACCCATGCCCTGGGGCTGGGTCAGCGCAGAGCCCAGAGCCTGCTGTGGGGTCAGGCCTGGGGTTATGAGCTCAGGGCTGTGCTGGCAGCTCATTTCTCATTTTAACCATTTCCCCACTGCTGAAACGAGATCTGTGTCACTGCAGGGGCCACATGTCCCAGCTGCCTTTCAGCTGGGGGCACATTCAGGTGGACAGAGTACCTCACCTCTCATATATTTAACATGAAAAGGGCTCATTTCAGCATCCTTCAGCACAACAGAAATGTGGCTACAATCTGCCTGCTTCCAGGCTGCAGGATGCCAATCACTGAGGGCCAGAAAGTGGCCAGAGCTTTTTCCTTGGATAAGGAAGCACATTCCTCTCCCAGCTGAAGCAGCATCTTTCCAGCATGGAGCAGGCACCAGAGGTGAGGGAGAAGAGGCTGCCTAAGAAAGGGAGGCAAAACCTTCAGGGGTTTTGCTCAGCTCTGACCTGGAAAGATGCCTCAAATCTCAAGGAAGAAAAGAAACAACTGGAGTTTCTATTTCAAACCATCCTAATGGAAAAAAAACAAACAAAACAAAACAAACAAAAAATAAATCACCAAAAATATTCAGGTAAACAGGAAAGAAGGGGGGAAAAAACCACTCAACCCCAAACACTAAGACTCCAGTCAGCATTTGCAGCCAGCAAGGGCAGCGAGGATGGAGTCCAGCAGTGCCACACTGTCACCCCAGGGGGCTGCAGCTCCCCAGTGTCCCATCCATGTCACCATCCCAGTGCTGGGCCACTCCCACAGCAGGGGACCTTCTGCCGCCCGCCTGCCACCGTTCTCCCCCCGCCCGGCCAGGGCCCTTCAGTTGTCCCCTGCCTGCACGTACTCCTCGGTGGCCTTGGAGAGGGTGCTGAGGTACTGCCAGCTCAGGGCTGCCAGCAGCATGGCACAGGACAGGTAGATGGGGGAGTAGTGGTGGCGGGAGGCCATGGGGCCGCCGGGCAGGCTGGCGGCGCGGATGGCGGCGATCGCCTGCTGCGTCTTGTGGCACGAGGGGTCCGTGCTCGGGATCTTCTGGTAGATCTGGAGGGAGGAGGGAGGAGGAGTTAGGGCTCTGTCATGGCCTGATGCTGGTGCAATGCCAGTGCCCCCATGAAAACACTCTCTCCCTGGTGTCTGCTGTGAGATGCGACCAGGAATAAGCAAAGCAGGCCCCCCGCTTAGAAATAAAGAAAAGTTTATTAACTAATAATAAACTAGATGTAAAAAGGAACACATGGGAAAAATGAAAACCTTCCAAAAACATTTCCTCCTCCCCCCGCCAAATTTCCAATACATCCATCCCTCAGATCACCAGCTCTCGGTCCATCACCACCCTTTAGATAATCAATTCTCAGTTCATCAAGGAGTGAGGAGTCCCCCTTGTGCCATGGGCTTCCCCTGGAAACACAATTGAAACCTTGTGTGTTTCCCTGTCACTCGTGGCACTGCCCAGAGATCATTTGCCATTGTGACCTTTTCCTTCCCTGTCCAGTGCTCTCACCACTGCGCATGGACCAGAGCTGCTTCTAGGGTTTTCCTTTTAAGGATGCTTTGTCTCATTCCAAAAAGAGCAGTCTCTCACTTTTGGGACACCTGTCCTGCCTAAATTTCACCCCCTGGGGCCAAGGGGTCTCAAAACCAGAGATCTTCTCCTCCACTGAAGACTGAGGGCACCAACCACCACCCTCCTCACCCGTTGTCTCTGCTCACTCCCATAACATCACTGCACTCTCTCAGCTCCAAGCCATTGCCTCCCCCTAAATGCAGTCTCTGTGTCACAGGAAACATGGTTCTGTCCATGGCTGTACAAGAAAAAAGTCCAGACAAAGGCCACTCCATCACCTCCTCCCACCTAAGATTCTTCTCCACTCTTCCAACATCTTTCACCTGCATGAACTTTCATCACACTTGCCCATTTCCTCCTCCATTTCATCTCTATCTCTCTTCTCATTCAGATCCAGGCAGATCAGTATTTGTAAGGTTTCCATTATTCAAGAAAAGGGTTAAAATCTCAGGCTCTGCCTGCCCAGAACTCCCACGACTTCTCACCGTGCCCCTGCTGCACTCCCTCCTTCTCCTTCTCAGCTGGGCTGTGCTGCCAGCACATGATATCAAATTTCAAGGTGGCACAGGGAGTTTAAGGGAGGAAAATGGGAGGAGGTTGAAGTTTTGAGGGCCAAGAGTGATGTTGGTGGTGGAGCTCCATGAAGCAAGGGACAGCTGGATGGGGCCAGATGTCACAGACATCTTTTATGAAAAATCCTTTCCTTAGGATTTTTCCTCCTGAGAAGCTGAGAGGCCTCAGGAACAAAATGTAAACAATGATTATCTGCTGCTGTGGAATGCAACAGGTGCATCTGTGATTGGTCTCATGTGGTTGTTTCTAATTAATGGCCAATCACAGTGAGCTGGCTCGGACTCTCTGTCCGAGCCACAAGCCTTTGTTATTCATTCCTTCTTTTCCTATTCTTAGCCAGCCTTCCGATGAAATCTTTTCTTCTATTCTTTTAGTGTCGTTTTAATATAATATATATCATAAAATAATAAATCAAGCCTTCTGAAACATGGAGTCAGCTCCTTGTCTCTTGCCCCTGAACACGGTCATAGGGGTCCATCCCTTTCCCACTTCCCTCGGGAAGTGCACTAAGCCAAGCTGCCTCTTGAGGGCACCCCATGATGGGACATGGACCACATGGCCTTGGACGTGATCCCTCGAGTCCCAGTGGTGTTACTGGGACCAGTGGTGTTACTGGGACCAGGGGTTCCCATCCTGCAATCCTCACTCGCTGTCTGGCCCACCGGACACCTGTGGGAGCATTCCTGCCTGGAACAGCCACATCATCACCTGATTCTGGGGCATTTGGGGTTGGTTTTCTTCTCATGGCTTTCTGAGATACTCCTCTGCAGGAGCCTGAGCAAGGTGGGCTCAAGCAGAGACCCTCTCCTGGGTTAAAGCCCTGCAGTGTCACTGTCCCTTGCCGTGGGACATGAGATTGGCCAGTTCACAAGGGCAGCTCTAATAACCCATGGTTTGGGGTCTCCCTGCTGCAGAAGTGAAGTATTTTTATTTAATAGCCTTCACTGGAATTGGGTTTTGGGGAGGGCGGTGTTTTCTTCCCATAAAACCCCCCACCAGTTGACTTTCCATGTGAACTTTTAATCTCCACAGGATGTTGAAGTCAGCAGGAAGTCATAAGGTCCCCCCTGAGACTCCTTTTCTGCAGGCTGAGCCCCTTTCCCAGCTCCCTCAACCACTTCTGGTGCTCCAGCCCCTTCCCCAACTCCATTCCCTTCTCTGGACATGCTCCAGCCCCTCAATGTCCTTTGTGTTGTGAGTGGCCCAGAACTGACCCCAGAACTGGGTCAAGGGGATGGGCACTGCCCTGGTCACACATTACTGCTGGTCCAGGCCAGGATGCCACTGGCCCCAGTCCAGACACACACCCAGACCCAGGGAACATTCAAGGGAACACATCAAGCACAGTTTGGTCCAAGCCAAAACCACATCATGATCACCACTCCCCACCACCACTGAGCCAAGGACAAAATTAACAGATCCCAATGTATTCCAAACTCCACCCCAAAAACAGGGACAGGAACAGCCAGAAATGGCTGAAAACAAACTGCTGAGCCTACCTCTTCCACATACTGGTACATGATGGCTTTGACAGCTTGGATGTTGGTGGCATCCATCATGAGGGTGACGGCCTGGCCCTTGCGGATCTTCACCACCCCCTTGAACACCTGCTGGTTGTTGTAGCAGGCAGCCAGCGTGGCAATGGCCATCACCTGAGGAGAGACAGCAAACTTGCACTGCAAGGAACTTGCCAAAGATTCACCCTGTCCACAGTGACATCCATGGAGTGGAGCCACAACCTCAACAACAGCAGAAACGGCAGGAGCCAAGAAATAAGCAAAAAACCAACAACACGGGACCTCCTCCACCTCCAGCTCCTCACCAGCTGGGCTGCAGAGGGTGAGGAACCACTTAGAAGCTCGGCTCACCTGGGGGATAGCACAGAAGTTGAAGACACTTTGGTTTTTGAGGCGGGACAGGTAGGTGAGGACGTCGGGGACGTGGTGGAGGGCGTTGGTGATGAGCTCATTGAGGCACTGCACGGCCGCGTCGATGTTCTCTGGCTTGGCAAGGTCTGAGAGCTTCTTGGCATATCTGCTCCAAACCTAAACACCAAGATAAGTGTTCCTGAGCTGGAGGGTGCATTGATGTCATCAGAGAGACAGCAGGTCTTAGGAGAGCAACAAGAGCCACCAAAAAACCCCCACACAACAGCCTTGGAGCATTGCTGGGGTAGAGAAAAGCAGGAAGCGCGGGCTGTGGGGACGTGACAGTGGCCTTGGTGCACACAAAGAGATGGTAAAGGAGGAAGGTGAAACTCATCTCCACATCTTTCCTAGGGAGGGCAAGGAAAAGGTGAGTCACACATCAAGAAATGCTCTGTGAGACAGCTGAGCCACAAAAAAGGGAGGAAAATTTTTGGATGTCATGTCAGGCACAGGCAAAGCTGATCCTGCTTTTTGGGAGATCTTGGGTACCCTCCTGGGATCTCAAGCAGTCTCATCCTCCCTCATTCCTACAGAAAACCTAGCAGAGAGGAGAAAGAGCTGCCTAAGTAGCTCTTGGCAGTGTGTGGTGACCTTGTCCCCACATCTGTACCCAGAGAGCTGCAGCCAGCTGTCATCAGAACTGTCATTGCCAAGAAGATGTACAGCCAACAGCAGCAATTTTATGAGGTTTTTCCTCACCTCTCTGGGCCAGAACTCCCTTCCCTCCATCTGGTCCTCCAGGTAGTCACGGATGATGTTGGTTTTCTGCAGGAAGAGGCCCATGGAGTTTGCCAGGTCTGTGTCCTGCCCCACGATGGAATCTTCCAGCTCTGATGCAGAGAAGAGACGGGAAAGGCCAATCCCCACCAGCCCAGCAACGTAGTGACAATACTGCCAAGGAGGTGCCAAGTTGGGAAAGGAGGGGGAAAAAAAAACAAGATAAAAGGAGCAGTTACAAAGAGCTGCCTGTTTGCCACAGTGAGTTTTACAAAAAGCAATTGACAGTTCATTTGATGCAAGCTCTCCCTGGGATGTCTCAGCTTTCCAATGAAAACACTTTTTCCCAACAGGGATGGTCTGTCTACTCCTTCCACAGAGACAAGGTGGGCCCTACCTGGAAATGTTCAAAAAAACCTGTGGATATGGCACTTGGGGACACGGTTCTGTGGTGGCCTTGGCAGTGCTGGTGGAATGGTTGGGCTTGATGATCTCAGAGGGCTTTTCCAACCTTAACTCCATGACCCTGCTCATGCTCAGTCCATTCCTCTGTCTGGGCTGACTCACCTTGTCCCACTCATGCTGAGAATCCACCTTTTTCTCCAAGAACTCTGCCATCCCAACACCCATCTTGTGACAAATATCTGAAATCACATCCTGGTAGACCTTGGACAGTTTTCTGAACTCCATGGAGATCTGTAGCGTGGTAAAAACAGAAAGAGAGCGTTCGGGAAGGAAAAAAAAAACCAGCACAGCTCAACATTTATTAACAAATCAGAAAAATACTGTTTACCAGGCTCTAATCCTGCCCTGGCTGGAGATCTGGGACAACTCCCTCAACCTGAGCTGTTTCAAGGTCCTTGGAGCTCAGGCTTAGCCTGTTCCCAGTCTAAACAGGATGGTCTCTGGCAGGAGATCAGACACAGCAGAATCTTTGGGAAGGCTCTGTGGCCTTGGACTGGTATCATCTGGGAGCTGCAGGACAAAACTGACTGCACTTGGTACACAGAGCTGTTTTCCTCTGTAATTTGAGAGCATTCCATCACACCAGCCACGGGAAAAGAGCCGTGGGAGGTTTCTGGTGCTCTGCTCTCCCCAGCCTCTCCGGCTCAAGCTTCGCACATTTGGCACAACTGGAAAGGCATCAAGCAGTGAGGGAAGTGTGAAATCTTCCTACTGCATGTCCAGTAACGTGACCATGGAATCTCAGAGTGGGTTGGATTGGAAATGACCTTGAAGGTCTTCTAGTTCCAACCCCCCTGCTATGGGCAGGGACACCTGCACTGCCTCCATCACTCTCAGACTGAAAAAAAAAAATATTAAAAAGTGCATCCTCCTTTTCCCAAAACTGTGGAGCATCATGTTTTACTGTGCTGAGCTTTATTCTCCATCAGTGGGGGACTGCAGCCAGCCCAGGGGTTTTGTGCAATAAGGGTTTGTCTGTAAAATAAATGTATTCACTCTGCTTCTGCCTCTCTGGCTTCAGTCCCCTTCAAAGAGGAGCACAGCCTGCAAATGCACCTCTAGGAAATATTATTAGAAGTTTTTCACTGTAAGGGTGGTGAGGCACTGGCAGAGCATGCCCAGAGAAGCTGTGAATGCCCCCCAAAAAATTCAGGGTCAGGGTGGATGGGGCTTGGAGCAACCTGGTCTAGTGGAAGGTGTCCCTGCCTTGGCAGGGGATGAAATGGGATGAACTTTATGGTCCCACTCAACCCAACAATTCCATGATTCTACAATTTTATGATTATTAAAATGAATAAAATCATACCTGAGCATTGATTTATTAAAATATTAAAAATATTTAAAATATTAAAATAATAGTCATCAAAATATTAAGTAAAATTATACTTACTAGAATAATTATTAAAATATTTGTTTAAAATATTAAAAATTATTAAAATCATACCTGAGCATGGATTGCCACAAATAAATACCATATACACCAAAAGAGAACAGCAAAGTGCCACAAACACCTTCTCAAAAGCTCCTCTAAAGCCAAGCCACAGCCTTACCTACTGTATCCCTACCCACATTCTTATTACCCAGATTCCCAACACAGACACCCCCTATAGCACTCCACACTCCAAACCTGAGCATCAGAACTCCCAACACACCTCAGTTCTCCAAACAACTACCCCATTCCCACTGCTAGGGAAAGCCTGAAAAGGGCAGAGTAAATTAAAAATGGTAAAAACCTGAACAAAACAGAACATCCTCTGAAAATTAGATGTTCCTCACCAGAACTATTACATTTTTTTCTTAAACAGAGCGATGAAAAAAACCCTAAAAATCAGCTCAATAATAAAAGAAATCAACACAATATTGTTACTAATTACAGTGAGGGTGCTTTTTGTTTTTTATCACAGAGTTGTGGAATGGTTTGGGAGGGAAGGGACCTTAACACTCATCTCATTCCACCCTGTGCCCTACCAGAGGGCAGGGACACCTCCCACTGTGCACACAGGTATCACATTTACATTTTTTGAAAAATCTCTTTGGCTAAGATTTTTCTCTTGAGAAGCCTCAGAGAAAAAAAAAATAAACAATAATTCTCTTATTAACTTTTGTTTTGCTTATATGAAATGTGTTTAAAGACTGTTTATTTACAAGTAATCGTTTCATTGGTTCCTGGTGTGAGTTGTTTTGACTCATTGGCCAATCAGTGCTAAGTTGTGTCGAGAGTCTGAAAAGAGCCACGAGTTTTCATTATTATCTTTTTAGCATTCTATAAATATCCATATAATATAATATAATATAATATAATATAATATAATCTTTCTAAAAACATTAAGTCAAATTCATCATTCCTTCCTTCATCAGAACACCCCACAAATACAATTCACTGTAACAACCCCAAACCTCTCTCCACAAGACAATGGTCATCTGCTCTTCCAGCAGAGGAGGCGAAAAGACACTTTCCAGAGCTGGAATTTTTCCACAGCCAGATCCCCTGTGCCCCACAGCATTGCACAATGTTTGAATTTCTCACCCCAGCCTGGCACCCAGCCCCACAGGCAGGTGATGGGGCCCTTGGGAAGCTCTGTGGCACTGAACAAGCTCTGCAGGCACCACGTGGAGACAGCCAGGCACCCAGAGGTGCCACCAGGAGCAGGGAGGAGGCTGCCTTACCGTTGGGAAGTCCTCCAGCACCTGCCTGTCCCTCTCCTTGCTCTCTGTGTACTTCCAGTCTGGCTGGTACAGGTGGGAGTGGAACTCGTGCAGCATCGGGACCTTGACATCCAAAGGGATGCTCATGTCATCCTCTACAGTGTCCAGGGCACGGAGAACCAGGTAGAAGATGCAGACTGCATGGCTGGAAAGGGAGAAAAACCAGTAAACTTTTACTTGGGGGTGCCTAGGAGGCAGGACAAGCAGCTGCCTTCAGCAGAGGCACTTTGAGCTCAGTGTGTCACACACTGGCACTGCCAGGTGCCTTTGGAGGACACCAGCCAGGGCAGGAAATCCAGGATTTTCCCTCATGAGGAGAACTACAGCATGATTTGGGGGTTTCTAAGATGTGTATCAGGGAACTACAGCATGATTTTGGGGTTTCTAAGATGTGTTTCTCAGATGTGTACTTCCAGTCTGGCTGATAGAGATGAGAGTGGAACTCGTGCAGCATCGGGACCTTGACATCCAAGGGGATGCTCATGTCATCCATAGGAATCCATAGGAAATCCAGGATTTTCCCTCATGAGGAGAACTACAGCATGATTTTTGGGTTTCTAAGATGTGTATCAGGGAACTACAGCATGATTTTTGGGGTTTCTGAGATGTGTATCAGGGAAGGGTCAGGCCTGTGAGCTCCCTGAGCAGGGAAAATCCAACCCTGCAAGCAAGGCCAGCGCTCACCTGGACCCAGAGGACAGAGCCCAAGGTCAGCTTATTTGGAAATGCAAATGTCAAATAGGGAAGGGGGGGGAAACAGGTAGGTTTTCCCCATCATTCCCTCTTCTCTGCACACTTTTTACCCTGTTGGGGTAAAATATTTCCCCCCCCCAACGCTGGGGGGAAATAAAGGGGTCACACTGTGCAACAGGGACATTAGGACTGGCAGAAAGAGCCAAAATCACCCTGTATTTTATATCTCCAGGAGCAAGACACTGGAGACAGCCTATGTGTCCCAGCATCCCAGCAGGAAGCTGCTGGAGAGCCACCACCCCTGCCTTCCCTATCCCTGCTTCCTTTCCCATCCCTGCCTCCACATTTCTCCAGCTAAAGAAAAAAACAATAAAAAAAAAAAACACCAAAAAAACCACAAACAAACAAAAAAAACCACCAAGAAAAAAACCCAACAACAACAACAAAACCAACAAAAACAACAACAAAAAACAAACAAACAAAAACCAAGTCCTGATGGCAAGAAATGCTCTTTGCAACTCCAGGATTTATATAAAATAATCCCCTGATCTCCATGAGCACAGGGATATATGCCAAGGAGAGGAGGCATTTATTAATTGTTTAACAAATGGAAAGTAGCTTGGTCTGCTTAAATGCTAATTACCAGGTGACAGTGCTGCACTCCTGGAATGACAATCACCCAGGGAAAACTGACTTGCTCTTAGAGCCAATACTGTTAAATCTGGCTATTTTTCCTTGATTAGAAGGGTATTTAACACCTCTGTCAAACCACATGAGCAGCTCTCGTGCTCTTGTTCCTTTGCATGACTGAGTTTTTCCATTCCAGCCAGGCTGTAAATGTTCATCCAACAGGATGCAAGTGCCCAAGGCTCCAATCTGCTTCCAGGAGCCACCAAGAAAGGCAGAGCAGAACCTGGAAATGCCATCCCAGAGGCAGCTCTCACATGGGCATCATGCCCAGGGAAGAGCCAGCAGTAATTCCAGAACCCAGCAGAGTTAAAACACTTATTTAACCTCAATTCTGCATCCAGACCTTATGTGCCTCCCAAACTTCCATCACATACTGAATTTAGACCCATGGCACAAATGGAAGCAAAGAACAAGTCTGGATCTTCCAGAGCTCAAGCTCATCCCTGTCCTGGGTGCAGCTCCCTCCTGCCCAGGTGAGGAGGTCTCCTTCCTCCTTGCCAGGACATACAGCCTGTGCTGGACCCTCAGGAACAGATCCTGAGGAGTTCCAGAGACAGGCAGGAGCATGGAACTGGCAGCAGAGAGGCAGGAGCATCCCTCCTCTCCTCTCCATCACCAGGAGAGGAGCTGTGAGCTTGGATCAGAATCCTTTCCTCCACCAGCAGCAGTTATGATGCTGTTGGCTCAGCTGTGGATGAAGCTGCAGTTTTGAGCCTCCCACCTTCCCAGAAATGCCCCAACCATGGAGCAATGAGCTGGACAGGGCTCTGGCCAGCAAAACAGATGGTCCATGGGGACAAAGAAAAGCAGAAAGGAGGAACCAGAGATTTCAGCTCAACTACCAAAACCCTGCCTGGCCAGGGAAGGGTACCCTGCCTCCCCAGCTTCCATCACACACTGAATTTAGATCTGTGACACAAATGGAAGCAAACAGCTGCAAAGTACAAGTCTGGATCTTCCAGAGCTCAAGCTCAGCCCTGTCAGCTGTAGCTCCCTCCTGCCCAGGTGAGGAGGTCTCCTTCCTCCTTGCCAGGACATACAGCCTGTGCTGGACCCTCAGGAACAGATCCTGAGGCGTTCCAGAGACAGGCAGGAGCGTGGAACTGGCAGCAGAGAGGCAGGAGCATCCCTCCTCTCCTCTCCATCACCAGGAGAGGAGCTGTGAGCTTGGATCAGAACTCCTTCCCACCACCAGCAGCAGTTATGATGCTGTTGGCTCAGCTGTGGATGAAGCTGCAGTTTTGAGCCTCCCACCTTCCCAGAAAATGCCCCAACCATGGACTAATGAGATGGACAGGGCTCTGGCCAGCAAAACAGATGGTCCATGGGGACAAAAAAAAACAGAAAGGAAGAACCAGACATTTCAGCTCAACTACCAACACCCTGTCTGGCCACTGCCCCAAGTACTCCTCCAGAAGTTCCCCATTTTCCAGCAGCCCTTCTGGGATGCCTGTCTGTAACCACAGGGGCTCAGCTGAACTCCCTGAAGGGGTCAACATCAATGCAAGCACTTTTTTTGATCCAGCAAAATTAATTCCTTCTGTAAGGCTGTGGCTCTACCTATTTCTCTATCCTCACTATTTTGTATTTCCCTTGTTCATCCCTAAATTCTCCAACAGAACTCCTGGGCTTTGAAAATGAGTCTCTCCTGATGCACTACTGAGCCAGCTGTAATCCAACCACCATCCCTGCCCAACCTGGGTTACAAAGATCAGGCAAGAGCATTTTTAGGATGCCAGGCAGAAATTCTGTGCCCTGAAGGGGTGATCCTTCTGCACAGCTGTAGGGCAAGGATTAAAGGACAAAAAACACTAAGAAAACTGCAGGAAGTTTGAGGCAAGCATAGGGCAGACACATTGCTAACAGGTTTCATAGTGTTTTCTTAATTTTTTTTCTTAATTCCTGCACAGAAAAAGCATGGAAAATAAAAAGCTTAATTCTTGGCCCTACTCGTACTTTTCCATGCAATTTGAGCCAAACCACTGAACTTCTCTGCCTTTCCTGTCAACCAGGCTGCAAACACCATTTCATAAACACTGGACACAGCTATGGGGCACCATCCAAAATGCCAAACCAGGGCTCAGAAACCCCACAGACCACCCAGTGTTCGGGCTGGTGCCTGCAACTGCTCAGATCAGAGCCATCAGATGTGTCTGCAACAACTCCCCGAACCCCTAGATTTGATCATCAACCCATCTTGGAATTAACTGGGGATTTAAAAACTGAAATCAGTAATTGTCAAATGAATATAGGGAATTATATGGAGAATAATTACATGGCATGAGGCCCCTTGGCCAGCTGAGCTTTATTTACATCCTCTGTTACTATTCCTGTCTGAAGCTTTTCTGCACAGGGCAGCAAAATCTGCACAGCAAAAAACGGGTGGGCAACAAACCCCCTGTGACAACTGCACCATTTGGTTCCAAAAGCACCTCCCAGGCACTGCCCAGACCCTTGGTCAGCCCCAGGTTTTTCCTCACCTCCTCCCTCCAGCCTTTGTCCAGTGCCAGCCTTGGCAGCGCCAGGACACATTCCCAGGGTGTCACACGGGGCAGAGTGCCAGGCCCTGTGTCTAACAGCCTGCTCAGCCCAGAGACCCAGTTTGGGGAGGGATGTGATGCACAGGGGGGATGTGGTACAGCCAGCTGGGACGTGAAAATCCCCACGTCCTGCTGCACGGGGGTGGGGCTGAGCTGAGCGAGCCCAGTCAGCTCCTGATGGGAAAGGGAGCGTGTCCCAGCAGCTCCACTAGAGAAAAACGGACTTTGGGGGTAGGTACTGCATGGGCCCAGCTCTGGTACTGGGGGGGCATCACACCCACCAGCTCCTGAAACTGGGGGGCCACTAAGTTCGCTGGGATGCCCAGTGTTGGGGTGGCATTGTACCACCCAGGGAGGAGATTTACCCCCACCATCACCACCTCCATCACCACTTCCCAGGGAGGCTATTTACCCCCACCATCACCACCTCCATCACCATTTCCCAGGGAAATTTACCCCCACCATCACCACCTCCCAGGGAGGAAATTTACCCCCACCATCACCAGGGGGTTCCAGGGGACAGCTGCACCCACTCCCTCCCGAGGATCCCCATTGTTGGGTTGTCACCCTACCCACCGCCCCCCAAAAACCCCCAGTGCCGGTGGTCACCGCACCCCTCCCCCGTGTCCCCCCGGCGTCCCCCGCTCACCGCAGCTCTCCATCCAGAGCCTGGATGACGGCGGCGAAGCTGCGGCTGGTCTGGTTGAGGTATCGGTAGCAGGTTCGGAGGCCACATCCCAGCGAGTCCTGCGGGCAGAGCGGGCCGGGGGCCGCGGGTTGGAGCCGGGGGGCGGCGGGCGGCGGGGCCGGGGGGGCTCCGCACCGCTGCCGCTGCTGCTGTGGCTGCTGTCCCCGCCGCCGGCCCGTTGCCCGCGGGGGCTTCCGCGGCGGGGACAGCGTCAGTGTCCGCCGCAGCACGGACACGGCCCGGGAGCCGGCCGCCATGGGGGCGGCAGCGCTGGGGGGCTGCGGCCGCTCCGCTCCGCCCCGGCCCGAAACCCGCCCCTTAACCCGCCCCGTGCCGTGGCCGGAGACGCTGCCATGTACGGACAGCGCCGGGGCCGTGCGATGTCCGGAGCGCCGGGGATACACGCAGGGTACCGGGACCGAGCAATGCAAGGGATGCTCGGAGGTGGGGGGATGAATGCGGGTATGGGCACCGGGAAATGCATGGGAAGCGTGAGATGATCGGAGTCAGTGGGATGCTCGCAGGATACTGGCACTGAGCAATACAAGGGATGCCTGGAGCTGCGGGATGCTCCGGTAGCACCGGGGCTCTGCGATGTCCGGCATTGGTACCGGCACCGAGCAATGCAAGGGATGCCCGGAGCCGGTGGGAAGCTCGCAGGGTACCGGCACCGGGCAAAGCAGGGATGCTTGGAGCCGGTGGGATGCACCAATGGACAGGATGCCCGGAACCAGTAGGATGCACACATGGTACGAGCAATGCAATAGGATGCCCGGAGCCGGTACCACCGGGAAGCACCGAGGCGCACACAAGGCGCACAAAGCCGGGCAAAGTCCTATACACGCTGGATATGAGATGGTCACCCACGGCAACACCGTATCTGCGCCCAGACATGACAGTGCCCCCCACCTCCTCCTCCTCCTCCCCCTCCCATGCCCCGCTCCACACCGGGAGCACCGCGCACCGGCGACAGCGAAGCTCTTCCCGCCGCCCGCGCATCCCTCGCCGCTCACCGTGTCCATCCGCGGCATGACGGCGCGGTAGCCGCCCATCTTGAAGCGGAGCAGGTTGTAGATGTCCTCGGGGTGGCCCAGCCATTTCCGTAGCAGCTCCATGGGGGCCGCGCTCAGACCCCGCCGCCGCCGCGCGCTCCCGCCGCCCCCCCCAACCCGCCGCTTAACCGGGCACGGGCGGGGCCGCTCCAGCCCCGCCCCGCAGCCAATCACAGCGCTCGGCACATCGCTCGGTGGGGCGGGCGCGGCGCCGATTGGCGAAGGTGCGCTCGCACCAGGGCAACGACAACCAATAGGAAGGTGGCGCGGCTGGTGTGACGGCCGGAGGCGGGCGCTGATTGGCTGAGGCGCGCGTCGGCACAGGCGGAGCGGGAAGGAGTCGGTGGCCCCGAACCCCCTCGTGTGAGCGTGAGGGGAGCGGAGCCGCCATGGAGGTGCGGGAGGGTTGGCGTGGGAAGGGAGCGTGAAAACCTTCCAGTTCCAACTCCTTGCCATGGCAGGGACACCTTCCACTATCCCAGGTTGCTCCAAGCACCGTCCAGCCTGGCCTTGGACACTTTCAGGGGTGGAGAAGCCACAGCTTCTCTGGGAATTCCATCCCAGCCCGCACCTGCTCATCACAGGGAAGAATTCCTTCCCCGTACCCCATCTAACCCCGTGCTCTGGCAGTATGAAGCCGTTCCCCCTTGTCCAAAGTCCCTTTCCAGCCCTCCTGAGCCCCTCCAGGCACTGAAAGAGGCTCTGAGATCTCCCTGGAGCCTTCTCCAAGCTGGACAGCCCCAGGTCTGAGCCTGCCTCCATAGCAGAGAGGCTCCAGCCCTTAGAGCACCTCCATGGTGCTTTTATGGACTCGCTTCCACAGTCCACACCCTTCCTGTGCTGAGAACCCAATACATGCCCAGCTCCATCCCCATCCTTCAAAGTGCAAGATTCAGCTCTTGGGGTTCTTTTTGTGAGTTGTTTTCTTCTAGAAGCTGGGCTTTGATCATCATTGTGGGTCCCTTCCAACTCAGGATATTCTATGATTCTTTGTTTTGGACAGGCATTTGGCCTGCAGAAGGGACATTAACCACCTTCTTTGGCCCCATAACCCCATTAATTCATTTATTCAGCAATCCCATAACGTGCAACCACTCAAAGGTGTTGCAGTTCCCAAGGGAGAGGCTGTGCAAGTCTTGCCTAGGAAGCAGCTGCCTACAGCAGAGGTGTTTATCTCCAGTATTCCCAGCTGATTTGCAATCTATCTTTAAATCCAGCTCCCATTGATGAGACCACTTACACAGCTAAGGAAAGTCACTGCTACCATCCTCAACAGGCAGCTGTTAACCAATTCCAGGCAGCTGGAATTTCCATGTACACCCCAGTTTTTAACCAAGAAACTGCCAGAAAGGACACACTTGAGATGAACATCACTGATTCTAATTCCAGCTTTTATTTTTTTTGCTCAAGTCAACAACTTATTACTAAAATAAACTCAAATCCAGGGAGGGAGGACAGCAGCAGTTCCCACCTGGTGTACAGAGACACAGCTCTATTTCCAAACCTTTCTGTTTTCAGGTTTCCTTGGAGATCCTGAGTTTTATGCAATGCTGCCACACACTGTAATTTTTTTTTTTAATTTTTACAGCAAGATCTGGAATTGGCAGTTTGCCACAAAGCTGAAACCTGTGGGTGCAGAGATGAGCTCCACCAAGCACTGCTGACGTATATTTTGTGCATGTTGATGTGGAAGGAGGAGGGAGCTGTTCCTGTCAGATTACATGGGAACAGCCCCTCATGTTTAACCACACCCAGTCACAGCCCAGCACACAGGTATTCAGCTCCAAACAGAGGCAGGATTATTTAATTCCTAATTAATCAAGCTGCTTAGGCAGAGGGATATCCTCTGTTTTGCTGACTCCTCCGGGGTCAGGGGACAGGGTCACCAGACCACAGCAATCCCGTGCTTAACCCTTCACACTTCCCATCCACTGCCACCTGAATGGGGTGACAGTGCACCTCAGACCTGGTCAAACTCTTTACACTGTGGTGCCACTGTGACAAAAAAAAACAAAACAAAACAAAACAAAAAAACCATGGACAGCCACTTTTTCCTTTCTGCAGCCACTCAGGGAACCTGGGACCTCCACTGAGCATTTAACTCTGCCAGCTCCCTAAGGGCCAAACTCAACAGCCTAAAAGAAACCACAGAAACCTTCTAGGACAAGGAGGAGCACGGATCAGAGACCACCCAGCACCCTGCAGGACAGATCACCCAGTGACTGAGGAAGGGTCCCCATCCCCTGGCAGCACCGCAGGCTGGCACTGAGGGCACCACCACGTCAGTCTCTTGAAGCCACCCGAGGGTCCAAAAGTGCCCTTCATCAGGGGATGCCCCAGGGGACACTGCTCCTTCTGGTACACCTGGGGGTGCAGCCCTTGGCCACGCAGTTTGTGGTGCAGCCACTCAGAGCTGAACTGAACGGCGCAGTCCAGCAAACGCTCCAGGTCTGAGAGAGCCAAGAGGGAGCCTGGTGTTAACGGGTGGATCCTGGCCAGGTACAAGATCTCGTTCTTGATGATGTTCCCTGGAAGGGGCCAGAAACAAGGAGACAGCAAGGATATTTCTAATCAAGGTAATACAGGCTGCTGGCTCTAACTTGTGATTTCTGCCTCAAGGAGCACAGCCAGCAACACCACTCCCTGTACCAGAGTTGGCATCCAGAGAGTAGACTTAGAGCTGGGATTGGACTGGAAGAGGTTCTCTTCCCTCTACTGTTGTTACAGACCTTGAAGATCTACCAGAAGCTCTTAAACTAAAGAGCAAACTGCCCAGACATGCACTTCTGCATCTGTAGACATCCCACCCACCTTCCTCCATTTCTCCTTCTGCCCCTATTCCCTGGAACTCACCCAGCCCTGAAAAATATCTTTGGTCTAGGAGGGTGTAGCAGATGGGATCGGGTGCACAGAGGGCACGCAGCGCCCGGCCTCGGTGGAATTCCACAGCCAGGATGTCAGAAGCAGGATCAGCCCTGGGAGAGGAGCACCAGAGCATCCGGCAGTTGTAGAAAACAAGGAAGCCTCCGCTCTCAAAGTGCAGAACCAGCCTGGGAGAAGCAGAGAAGTTGGAGTCTCTCATCAAAAACATCTCTGAACTACTTGTTATACTCTGCAGCTGGCCACTGTCTCAAGGCAAGGTGGCATCTTAAATGACTGCAGCCATGAAGCTTGGTGGTGAACCCACACAGCTGGGGGAAAGCTTTTCCTTCAGCTGCCCTGTGACTCTGGTTGACAAAGCCTTCAGCAGGACAGCCCACAAATCAGAGAAATGGATGTTAAAAGTAGCACAAAAAACTGTGTCTAAAAAAAACTTGTGTAGAAATAAAGTCATAATTCAAAAGAATCATAGAACCGTAGAATGGTTTGGGTTGGAAGAGAACCCAAAGATCATCTTGGGCCACCCTGCCATGGGCAGGGACACCTTCCCCCACCCTATGTTGCTCCAAGCCCTATCCAGCCTGGCCTTGGACACTTCCAGGGCAGCCATAGCTTCTCTGGGAAGCGGTTTCCCCTTGCTCTGTACAATTCCAGTGGGATACAGGACACAAACCTTAGCCATGTTTTCAATTCACTGCTGCCTTTTACAGCATCACTCCAGCCTGTGATTCCAGGTATATGAGATGTTTGTTATTTATCCAAGGCTTTTTAAAAAACACATAACAGGGAGAAACTGGCAATTTTAGGGCATGATTCAGCCTGGCATCCTAAAAATTCTCTCATCAAGATCAAAATCTTAGCAGAGCTGGTACTAAAATCCCCACAATGCATCCTACAATTCCACTGTGGATTCTCTGGTTGAACACACCCCACATTCACTCATGCCTTAAAAATTATCAGAGAAAATCCAGGCTAAGACCATTCCCACACAGATTTAGTTTGGGAGAAAAGAGGACATACCTGGGCACAGGATCCTTCCAGTCTCCCCTTTTATTGGCTCTGCTTGCCCTCGAGAACTCATTTGCGCGGACGCTGCCGAACATGCCAAAGTGGACGCGCAGCCAGTTGCCCCGACCCTCTGCTGCTTCTGGGGCTTCAGATCTTGGGTGCTGGGCTTCCTGCAGCTCCTCATCCTGGGAACGGGGGTGTGGAACACCATCCTGTCCTTGCTGTCCCTGGGCAGGACAGTGTGCCCCACAAGCAGCCTCTGTTTGCAGCGCTGTGTCTTCAGCAGTTGGTCCAACGGGACCTTCAGCTGCCACAAATGCCAGGTACAAGTTCTTCCCATGAACCTGAGAAAAGAGGTGGCATGTGCTGATGATCCATAAAGGATCAGAGCATTCTAGAAAGACCTGGGTTTGAATGGACCTTAAAGCTCATCTCATTCCAAACCCCCACCCATGGGCAGGGACAACCTCCACTAGACCAGGTTGCTCAGCCCTCATCCAACCTGATTTTGAACAATTCCAGGGATAAAACCTCTGGCTGTTTCCATACAAGTGACTTATTTTCTACAACCTCTGTTAGAGGGCACATCAGCCGAACTTGAACATGGGATTCATCAGGATCCAAGCCATTCCCATCAGAGCTGGGGTCATCCTTGCAGATTCCTTTCTTTGCCTGCCTGAAGCATAAGATGTTTAGATGCCACTCAATTCTGAATCCCTCACAGGAATTCCCATCAGGCCCACCAAGACAGACACTCAGGGGTTTGAAATTTGTCATCATCACTTCTGATTTCTCTTCCCACTTTGTGCTGGGCCCATTTTGTGCTTTTGATTTTGCTCTGCACCTTTAATCAGAGGTGAGGCTGCACCAGGGTTTGACCAGTCAAGTCCAAATCATCATCTGGAGGTGTCAGGCCGGTGAAGCTCCAGCAGGACCAACCCAGTGTGACTTCTGACAAGTACCCACAGCACAGACATCTCAACTTAGCCAGGTGAAACCCTCAGGCAAACATTCACAGGTTCTGCACCTTCTGTCACCCAGGTGTGGGGCAATGGTGATTTCTGCCCTCAGACTTGTCATGGATCTGTAAATTCAACTCACCTGGGAGTCCTGGAGCCTCAGGGCATTCAGGTCATTCACGCTGAGCTTCCGGCTGCTTCCCCCCACCTTGGCCACCACTTGTCCCACAAAAGGGGAGGTCAGCAGCTGGAACTTCCTCACTGAAGGGCCCTCTGGCATCTCCAGCAGCTGCAGAGGGATTAGCAGGTCCTTGTCACACTCTGCCCTAGACTTGAAGGGAAGCTGCAACTCAGAAATACACAAAACATTCTCCTAATTTTCCTCCTTAAGTTCCTGTGGTAAAGACCATGAAGATAAATAGGACCAGGGAGCTGAAGGAGTTTCCATCCTAGCAGATATATATAATTTAATCTAACACAGCCCTGAATAACATATTCCAATGGCAGTTTTCATGCTACAAGTGGGAATTTGGCCTGGAGAATCTCCCAAAGTCCCTTTTTTTCCTGGGGCAGTGGGAGGTTTCCCTGCCCACATCACTGGGGTTGGAAGTAGATGATCTTTAAGTTCCCTTTAACCCATTCCACTCTGTAATTTTATGATTAGTGACCCACAATCAGCACAGGCCGGTGACCCATCTTTTTCCCTATACACCATGGGAAGTGCTGCTCCCATGGAAATATGAGCCCTGGAATTAGAACATCCCCACCCCTGGCTTTACCCACTGCTGGCCCCACTGACTGCAATGGCATGGAACCAGTTGGGGAGCATTCCTGCACTCTGCTAGCAGCATCTGGGAGCAGAAGGCTCTGGGTGAGGGGGAGATGAGGCAGCACCATCCTGCAGCTCCTTCCAGGAAGTCACACCAATACATAAGGAGTTATTCCTGGCATGAAGCCTCAGTTACTTGCAGTTCTTCTGAGGACTTGTGCTGGCTGTGGGTGTACAAGGAGAGCTCAGCTTGGCTTTCATCCCACAGTGCCAGTTCTGCCTGCAGACTAAACCCAGAGACCAGCACTGATCAGAGGCTCAGCTTCAAGCTCCACAGCACTCAGTACAGGGCTCTGAGGCACCTGGCACAGCTCTGAGACAGCTTGATGAGAAAATCAACAGCAATCCTAGGGCCCCCCACCAGAAGAGCCATTCCCACCTCATGCCAGCCATTCCTGTGCTGCAGCACAAACCAAATCCTTTTTTGAAGGGCTCAAGAGGAAAACATGTTAGGGAACATTAATTTAATGTCTTAAGATCAAGGTACAGATATTAACTGGTCATCAAAACTAGATTTAGCAAGGGTAAAAGACTGAGCTTTAGTCCTCTGCCTTCAAGGGCATTTAATGATTATTCACAGGCCTGCTCCAGTTTTACCCAAAAAATCTGCACATTGATCAAGAGACAGCTAAAGAAATGCTTCTGCTGCCAAAGGCACGAGCAGCAGTTTGGATCCCTGAAAACAGCTGGGCACAGGTTATCCAAGGAGTCTGCCCTGACTATCCAGGCACTGGCTCCACAGATGGAGTGCCAGGACAGCCCTGTGAGCCCAGAGCTCACATCCCAGGGACGTTCATCACTTGCAGAACTCTGACTGCTGCTAAGTCAGTTCTCCACAGCTCCTTGTGAGAGACTGGAAGTGCTGGGAGCTCTGTAAGGTGTTAATGTTCACACTGCCCCAGCTGTAGCCTGTCTCACAGCAAAGGAACACTCCTCCTCAAGAGGAAAAACTGCCCTGTTCCCCACCACATCAGAACCACCAGCATCTGCCATCCTTATCCCATGTACCTCCTTATTTCACATTTTTACTCTAGATCCACTTCAGTCTCATTCACAGTACTCCCCTCTCTAAGGAGGAAAACCATCCCCAACCCTGTGCAGGGCATGACACCCATCTCACCATGAGCATGGCCCCTGAGCTGGTACCTCTGCAGGTCTGGGGCAGGGAGCCAGGCCTCCAGGACAAACCCTCCCCCTGTATAGGCTCATTCCCAGCCCTTGTGCCCAGACAAAGGCCCAGCACCCACAGAAGAACAGAGCAAGGACAAGGCTCATGCTGCTCACCCCAGCTCTGCCTGCACCCAGGCATTGCAGGAAGGCTCCCTGTGACCTTACACCCCTGGGCAAGGCTCCTGCAGGGACTTCAAGGCACAGCCCTGACCCCCCACATGCAGTCAGGGGGTGCAGAGCTCTCCATCTTCTCACATTCAACCAAACATCAATTTACAGCCATCCTCAGAGAACAGGCACTGAGTTCCTACCCCATTCTCACCCACATCACTGCAGGGCAGCGAGGGCACCCACTGCTTTTCCCCCAAGCCCCACATTCCTGCATCCAGCTCTCATCCACTGCTCTCCCCACGCATCCATTTGGGGAGCAGAATGGGCAGCCTGCCGCCCGTACTTCATTACCTCGCCTCTACTCCTCACAGCCCTTCCTCTGCCTCCACCCACCCTCAACTGAGGACTGAGCACAGCCAACCCCCTTCCACCCACCGCTTTATAAGGGAAGAAGACCCTCCCTCCTCTCCCCAAAGAGCAGAGGAGCTCCCCAGTTGGCTGCTGGGGGAGCGATGGGTGGATTCCAGGTGCTGATCTCACTCACCCCACCCGCTGTACCGGTTTGTAAACTGGTTGGACTGGGGAGGAAGCTGGGCAGTACCTGGCAGGGCGATTGGGTGCTCAGAGCAGGGCCGTGCCCCTGCAGAGTGGGAGGTGGCTCAGCACATTTTAAAAACAGGTGATTGGCGTTTTTCACAGCACAGCCCTGGCTGACAGCCTGATTTGGGCTCCGGGCTGTTGTCTCTGAGTTCATCTGGAAGCATTTAGGCTGAACAAGGCCTGAGTAAAACTCAGTGAGAAGACCAAAACTCTGAGTCATTATGGTTTTTAAGTGTCCCCAAGGGTTTTTCCCCTCTCTGCTGTGTTCAAGAGCTTTTCCTTATTTATATTAAAATCACAGTCACAAACTGGTTTGGGTTGGAAGGAACCTTAGAGATCATCCAGTTCTACCTCTCTGCCATGGGCAAGGACACCTTCTACTAGACCAGGTTGCTCCAAGCCCTGCCCAGCCTGGCTTTGAGTTGCTTCAAGCTGGGTCTGTCACCTCTGAGTTCTTCATTCTGTGTTGGCCATTCCAAATCCTGCATATAGGAAGGGGCTCTGTGTGGCTCAACATTGATTTTCCTGCAATGACTCATTACTTGGGAATTCCCAGGTCTAGGCAATTAATTTACCAAATATTTTTGTTCTCATTAATAATTAATATTTATTAAATAGGAATTTTATATAGAACAAGGAGTAATGGGTGCAACTTGAAGGAGGGGAAATTTAGATTAGATATTAGGAAGAAATTATTAACTTTGAGGGTGGTCAGAAATTATTAACTTTGAGACACTGGAGCAGGTTGCCAAAGGTGGTTGTGGCTGCCCCATCCCTGGAGGTGTCAAAGGCCAGGTTCAACAAGGCCTTGAACAGACTGGTCTAGTGGAAGTTGTCCCTGCTCATGGCAGGGGGTGGAACTAGGTGAGCTTTAAGGTTCCTTCCAACACCTTCACATTCTATGATTTGGGAAAACATTTCCACCGTGAGGGTGGTCAGACACTGAACAGGAGCCCAGAGAGGTGGTGAGATTTCCATCTTGGGGTATGTTCAAAACTTGACTGAACAGGGCTCTGAGAAACCTGATCTCATCTTTTCTGACTTGAAATTCCCTGTAATTTTTTCATTGTGAGCTCTCTGGGACAGGACCCACTTCACCATTTCTTGTCCAGGTACATTTCATGTTTTCAGTATTTCATCATTTACCCCCTGCCCTCTCCAAGAAGCCTATGAGGGTAGACAGAATCAAGCAGAAACCTTCTGGTTTTATTATCATTGTTTTATTTCCATTAGTTCTAAAGGTGTAGAAGTTATGTGGATTGGTAGCCATACTACTTCATAATAGATATTTTTTTACATCTTTAAATAATTACAGCTTGTTCAGTTGGTTGGTTTCCCTCTCCCCTTTACAAATAAGCGTCTGTTTCCATGAGACCTTCCCAGATGACCTGGGAAGCTGCAAACTTTATACATGGGGAGAAAAAAAAAAGGCAAAACAAAACACCACCCCTGACATAGTCACAGCTTCAATGTTACATTGAGAGTTGTTGATTGGTTTTAAAGCTCCCTTGCATTATTCCTGAGCTCCTCCTGATTGCACCCTCTCCATCCAAGCCCATAAGATTGCAAGTGATCTGTGCATCTTGTCTGATCAATTTACAAAGAATAACTGAAGTGAATCAAGATACTGCACTTCCACAAAGAGCAAAAACATTTAGAAGTGGTTAAATGACCTTTCTTGGCTCCCTTGTCCTGGTTCTCATCTGCCCATCTCACTTTGGTGGCCACTGGGCCATTGCCAAGGTCTGGTTTGACACACCCAAATCTTGTGCTGTAAACCCTTCAGCATCAACATTTTCCTGATTAGGGATGATCTCAAGTGGAGCAAATCCCACAAATGCAGTTTTAAATGTGCTGAGGTGTTTTGCAGGAGTGGGCCCTTCCCTCTTGCTCCTCAGAGAAGGGATAGTTCTCGGTCCTGTATTTGTGTAGGACCTGGTATGGATCTCATGAGGTTCTCTAGCAATAAAAGCAATAATAAAACCAATAATTACTTTGCCTTAATGGGTCTCTAATAATTGTATCTAATTCATTACCAAAGCAGGCTCTAACTGCCTCCCCCATCACAGTCAGGCAAGCAGAGCTCAGGTGGAACCTGTAATTTTGTAATTGCTCCTCTTGTTGGAAGGAGCTGAGTGAACTGACAGTGGCAGCACTTTAATCCTCTTGTCCTGTGAGTATCCCTTGGTCTGTCACCTCTGAAGTTTGTCATCCTGCATTGGCCATCCCTGCAAGACGTGGCTCTGAGTGATTCTTGGCCTTGGAAACCATGTTCAGCCTCCCTCCCACAATGACTCCTTACATGGGAATCCCCAAATGTGAGTAATTAATTTGCCAGTGATCCTTGGGAAAACATTTCCAGCATGAGAGCAAACACTGGAACAGGAACCCAGAGAGGTGCTGGGATTTCCATCCTTGGGAATATTCAAAAGTTGCCTGAACAAGGCCTTGAGAGACTTGATCTCATCCCTTCTGAGTTAAATTATTCTGTAATTTGATCATTAGAAGCCCTGAGGAAGGGGACCCATCAATTATGGTGTGTTTGTACCCCACCTGAAATGGTGATGCTCATCTGAGATCAGTCTCTCACCATCCTGATACCAGAACTGGCTTGAAAAATACAAAATCTCCTGGGCCAACAGCAGCTCTACAACAGTTTTGGGTGATTGAAAAGAACCACAGAACCTGGTGTATCCAAACTTCTGCTTCTGGTGCAGAAAGGGGGACAAAATAACTAATTTCTACCCCTAAAGAGTTGTCCTCTACCCCTAAAGCTGTCCTCACAGCCCCCAGAGTTTCACCTTTTGAAATCAGATATCTTGTTCTGTTAGCAGGGACTTGTAAATGCTCCTCACTCTGTTTCAAAAATAGTTTTTCAGGCTTTGAGGGAGGCTAAAATCCAGTTAATAGATCTCTACCAAGGGGACATAAGGCAGATATGTTCTGCAGGGATTATTTTTTTCCTTCTGGCATTATAAGCAGAGCTCTTTCTGGCATCTCTGAGTGGGATTTAAGGGCAGGAGAAAAATTCCACCGGGGAATTTGGCTTTGAGGGGAAGAGGAGGAGCACAGCAATCGGGAAGGGAAGGTAGAACCAGTGTGAGCCTCCAGATGGAAGGAGAAATAGGGCTGTGGTTGGTCTGGACTTTTAATCCTTATCAGGAGGCTCCACTTCCTCTTGGGGCTTTCCAGGGTAGTTCTGGATCTCTCAAAAGTTGGCATGAGCCACGTGGCATTTTGTGGTGCAGGCTGCTGTGTTATGGCCAGGAATTCACAGCCAGCTCCCAGGAGAGCTGGACTGCCATTTGCAAAGGGATTTACTTCAGGAGGAGTTTGGCTGAAGATCTTTCTGCCAATGGAGAAACACCTTTGTGTTTTCACCAAAAATTCTTTTTTTCGGGGCTATTTCTGGCCTCTTCTCTAAAGCCTAGCAGGTCGGAACAAAATCACAGAACTTAATTTCTTTGTATTCATGTTTCATGAATGTCTTTC